GGCCGAGATGGGTTTTCTCCGCAGGGTGGCTGGTGTCTCCCTTAGGGATAAGGTGAGAAGTTCGGTCATCAGGGAGGGACTCGGAGTTGAGCCGCTCCTCCTTCGCGTCGAAAGGAGCCAGTTGAGGTGGTTCGGGCACCTAGTTAGGATGCCACCTGGGCGCCTCCCTAGGGAGGTGTTCCAGGCACGTCCAGCTGGGAAGAGACCAAGGGGTAGACCTAGAACCAGATGGAGGGATTATATCTCTTCGCTGGCCTGGGAGCGCCTTGGGATCCCCCAGTCAGAGCTGGTTGATGTGGCCAGGGAAAAGAAAGTTTGGGGCTCTCTGCTGGAACTGCTACCTCCGCGACCCGACCACGGATAAGCGGGAGAAGATGGATGGATGGATGGATGTTTACCTCCCTCACTTCCGTTAACGCTTCTCATGCACTGATTCGCTAGCTGAACAGCCAATCAGTGTTATCCCTTTGTCCGACTTCCGGTGGTGTTCCCGACGCCGAATCGGCAAGAAAAGGCGTCAGGTCGGCAGAAAAGACCTGACGGTGCGGCGCACACCACTCCGAATAGGGCGTGCCCATGCTCATGTTCGGCCCGTCTCCCATTTACTGCCGATTTCGGGCCGGTGTATCAGGGCCTTAACTGTCAGTACTTTTTAAAACACTATAATCGTTGTTTATCCTGTATTGTGAGTTTGTGATGCAGCACATATTTTGTCTTGTCTGGCATGACTTCAACTGTTCAGTGTAAAAAATGTAAATGTGCATCTTCACAAGCCAAGTTTCTTCTTCTCTTGTCACAGATGTTGAATTTGAAGCCTCCTCTGCCGTGGGCGACCTGGCAGGAGCTGAAGACCGAGTCCAAGACAAACTCTGAGACCATTTTATCTAAGATGATGGAGGCTAAAGTAGGTTCGGCTCACTTCATGTCACAAACAGTCTCACATCGTATTATGTCAGACAAGATCTTAGCACTTAATTTGACTGTACCAAATGTTTTACTGTCATTTATTTTGTAATTGTGGTGATATTAAAGAGGCCCTATAGATGAGAGTAACACCTACGTCACTTGCGGGCGAAAATGACGGCCCCGCCCACTTTTGGGGGAAAACAACGCTGTCATTTGAATGGCGGTCAATACACATTCTGAAGTTTTTGCCAATCCGATCAGAAATGTTTGAAAACCGTGGATTGTTGGATCTTCAAAGAGCCCGATTACGATGGCCAGTCAGGCAAACAATTACATTAAATCATTTGAAATCAACGATCGGGCTCGATATATGGTTAAATTAAAATCAGTAGGCGAGGCTGTAATTTTCGCCGGCTGTTACTCTCATGAGCAAGGCGGAAAATAATAGTTGTATCATGCCAACAAGCTGCTGTGTCGTTTATTGCACCTCAAACATTAAAACAAATCCACAGTGGGCGGGGCCGTAAACTGACGTAGATGTTACTCTCATCTATGGACATCGATCACCAACTGCTATATTTAACCATATATTGAGCCCGATCGTCGATTTCAAATGATTTAATGTAATTGTTTGCCTGTCTGGCCATCGTAATCGGGCTCTTACTCTCATCTATCAGATCTTTCAAATTTGTATATTTGCATTTTATCTTCACTGTCCTTTTGCTCTAATAATGGACATTCCCCCTGCTGTAGGTCTAAAGGATGTCTGCTTCTGATTCCTCTTAACCAGACTAACATATCTTTCTGTACATTGATGCTATCATGTGTTTTTTAACTCTTTAGCCACTCACTTTGAGTCGCTGTGAATCTGGACGATTTCCCTGAGATTAAACGGCCTCCCGGTCTCCATGGTGGAGTTGGTTTCCACGGAAACGCGTCTCTTGAACGGCTCCCAGATGCTCTGAGCCTCCAGGTAGGCCGTGGCGATCACCAGCAGAAACATGGAGCTGGAGACACCAGAAAATGTTAATAATAATAATGTATTTTATTTATAGAGCGCTTTTCTAAAAAAACTCCAAAGAAACTTTACACAGTAAAAAAAAAACATAATTAAAACAACACACTTAAAATATATAAAACGCTCTGAAGAGGTTAGTTTTGATTTGAACATGGTGAGATCGGGCCATGTATTATTATGTATTACTTACTTGTATTTTTAGTTTGGCTTTGTGATGGCTAACGTTGGATGACCATTTTAGTTTTCATTTCATAAGAAACTACTGTATGAGCTGTTTTGTTTTATGTATGTTTTGTGTGTGTGAGGACCCCAGGAAGAATAGCCAATGCTCATGCTAGTGCTAATAGAGAGGCGAAGTCCCTCCCTTTCCGGGGGAGCTCCATGGGACCTTATTTCAGAAAAAGTATGTATTGAAGTCAATGGAGAGAGAAAGATTATCTTTCGATCCCGTTTCAATTGTGCCACGAATTACACATATGATGTTTGTCAATTTAAAAGATAATTTTGCAAGTCAAAAAAATAAAAATGTGTCGTAAAACTGTGAAGTTTTGTGTGAAACCGCTCAATGAACTACATCTCCCATCTCGCACCACACACCAAGACGGCCGTCACGTTGGCACATTTCACTTCTTTCTTTCAGAATGAGGCGGAAAGTATTAAAAGAGGTGAAAATCACTCCAAGTCTGGGCATGTTGAGAGCTGTACATACACACAAGGGGAGTTAGTTGGTTCCTAAGAGCCAGCATGCGGGACCGGGATTCTGGGATTTGTAGTCTTTCTAGTTGCGTATTTTTCATAGTCTTATATTTCAACATATTTACGACAAACTGTGACTTTTTTGACACAGAAATTATCTTTTAAATTTGTAATTCGTGGCACAATTCAAACGGGATCAAAAGATAATCTTTCTCTCTCCATTGACTTCAATACATAAGTTTTCAGAAATAAGGTCCCATGGGTCTGAAGTAGATGGGCGGGACTTCGCCTCTCTATGGGGATCCAAATAAAGAATAAGAATAAACGTTCGTCAGCTGTGTTTAAATCCAAAGTGTGTTGTATTTGCTGCTGATGGAGCTCACCTCATGATGAGAGACACGATGATGTAGAGCTCGAGCTCCCAGCCGGGGCGGGGCAGCGTCTCGGCGCACGTTGCCAGCATGTGGTACGGCAGCGAGGCGTTCAGGACAAACACGAACTCAGAGCCTCCGCATGTCACCAGCTTCAGCTCCCGGATGACTCGGGAGGACGTGAAGTCGGGTGTAAACCTGCGAGGAGAAGAAAGGATAGGTTAAAAAATATATATAATTATAAAGATGCGGAAGAAGGGGGAATTTTAAGGAAAATAAATACTATATTTTCAATAATGTGGTACATTTATGATGAAAACATGATTTTAATATTTGTTTGTATCTCTGAGATTAAGCTTAAGTACTAATTTAACATTTGAATTGAAGGCAGCTTTTTTTGATACATGTCTTTCATTGTTTTTGTTCCCCAGTGTCTGATACAAATTATGTTACACTAATATTTTAAGTGTTGTACTTTTCGTTAAATTAGGATTGTTTCAGACTGGGGTAAACCAAACATTAAAAAACAAACACACTCTGTTGTAACGTCAACAATTGGAAAAGGGAAATAATTCACAACATCATCTAAACAAATATTCCTACATCCATATTTGTTTAATCTTTAAATAAGTGCGAATAATCTGCAGAATGAATACTTTTACTACTTTAGTATATTTTGATGCTCATACTTTCCTACGTTTACTAACAGATCATTACATAACACTGGATGAACCGATTCAAACTGATTAGTACATTTAATCTAATTTAGGATTTTGTTTAAGGACTTTATATTTTTTAGGCTGATAACATCATTAAGGTATAATGTCAGAATTTGGACCAATCCACGGACTTAACCTAACGGCTCCACGGATTGGTCCATTTGGGTATGGGCACATCACTGTACCCAGGAAGAGAAATGTCCAACGAGGCGTTCTGGGGCAGCATAGACAGGTCTTCTCTGTGTTAGAGTTTTACTCCCTACAGGGTGTACTTTGAGGGTTTGTGACTCTGCAGACCGTTTACATGCAGACAAACCTTCATAACACACAAGGGGACGGGTAATGACCAGAAAAGCATGACATGGGCCCTTTAAAACCTGCTGAAGTGTCAGATGATGACATGGTTTAGCGACGTTTGAGTCCAAAAATTGGCTTTAATTCAATATATTCAGAAAAGTTTCTTCTGGATCAATAAAAGCGTTATTTTATAAACAGACTAGACTGAGTTTACATCTCATGACTAATATGAACATACCC